TTGCCACATTTGTTAAGTGAATCGCGGCAGTTGTTAAGTTAGGAACATGGTTATTAAGTGAATCTGGCTTCCCCATTGATTTTGCTTGTCAGAAGGTCGCAAAAGGGGATCACATGGCCCCAGGACACTGCAACCGTTATAAAATATGAATCAGTTGGCAAGCAGCCAAATTTTGATCATGTGACCCTTGGGGGGGTGCTACAGTGGTCTTAAGTATGAAAAATTGTCATGTCACTTTTTTCAATGCCATTATAACTTTGCACTAAATAGCACTAAATGAATTGTTGTAAGTCAAGGACTACCTGTACTTGTTTGGATGAACAAAGGAAAAAAAGCTGAATTCCCTCTTTAAAAAAAAAAAAAAATACCAGTTTTTTAATTAAAAACATTGCCATCCTATGGGAGAAAACAGATTTGGTTTTGTGTGGAAAAATGAAACTGCGCTTTTCCACATAACATTGCTAATGCAAAGACTGCTGATCAAATTTCATTTCTTTGTTTACCACTAACTTCACTATTTGTTTATTTTGTCTACGTACATATAACATATAACGTATTCATACTGTACTTCGTGGTAACTTATTTACAACTTTTTATGACTCCAAAAATTATTACAGAAATGAAGTCTGATCAACTAAAATATTGCCCGCTTTTTTATCCTTGTCAGCTATTGTGACAACTCAGGATGCATAAAAGATTTTGATGTTGCTATGCTAACATTGGGTAAACAATTTCCATGAATGCTAAGCTGGCAGTAAGGCAATAAATTAGTCAAAAGTGCTGTTTAGACAATATGAAATTTCTAACTCTTTTAAGAAACATGACACCGGCTTTGTTGTCTCTTTTCATCTAGACCAGGGGTGTCAAATTCACGTTGTCATGGCGGCATTATCCGTCGTATTGGGACTTTTCCCCTCTTCACTAAACCAGGTTTGGGCATGACCAGCGCGTGACACATCCAGCCTGCGGGCTGGGAGTTTGACAGCCCTGATAAATGAAAGGTTTTATTACTCAAGGCCCAGGATGGACAACTGTTTGGTAACTAAGGGCCAGGGGTGGAATTCAAATTTTTAAACAACCGGTTCCACGGGCGTGGCTTAGGTGGTGGGCGTGGCTTGGTGGTCATGTGACCGGGTGGACGTGGCTTGGTGGTCATGTTATTGGCTGGGCGTGGCCAACTCAATATCAAGGCACACATCTCTTCGCCTGGCCTCTCATGACTGTGGAAATGCTGCAACAGTTGTTAAGTGTGAAAAATGGTCATAAGTCACTTTTTTCAGTGCCATTGTAACTTTGAATGGTCACTCCACACAAGCAAAGTACCAGCAAAGGAGGGGGAAAAAAACTCCAGAGAAGTTCCAGAGACAGGAAGTCTAGTCCTGCCAAGAATGTAATAAGGGTTAACACAGAGGCAGTTTCTGTAAGCAACACCAGAATGTTTCCTTCCTGCCTTCCTTACAGGATTAGGCCAGTAATTTCTTCTAACAACCGGTTCTCTGCACTGCTTAGAATGTTAACAACCGGTTCTAGGAATAGGTGCAAACTGGTAGAATCCCATCCCTGCTAAGGGCCACTAAACATTTTTCAAGGTGCAGAGGGCTACATCACCCCTGTGGGTGGGGCTGAGTTTTGAGGCAACCTTTGTTTCTAAATTATGTTTCTTTTAGAACTTAAACCAAGCTGCCTTCTGTTTCTCAGCACAGCTTAGTAGTGTTGTTAATTATAAGCAGTGGTTAAGAAGGAGATTTCTGCTGTACCGTCACTGGCGTTTGCAACGAGGATTTTCAGCTTTTTGAAGGCCTTTTCCAAAATGTCTGACACCACTGGCACATTCTGACTGGTTAATCAAGCTTGTGTACAGCCAGGCATATTTATTTGCCAGTCAGCAGCTGTAATTGAGTTTGATTGGGTTATAATGATCCTTCAAAATGGAACATTCCTTGGACTGCCCCAAAGTTAGTTTTTTCAGCCCACGGGTTCAGGCTTGGTTTGTTTGTAGTGGGTATCCCATCCTGCTTTGCAGTTTTATATGGAGATAATCCTTTTCCTGCCAGAAATGAAGGTATAGTACTCGCATAGTCAACAACTCCATCTGCAAATAATAGAAACAATTAGTGTTTGACCTATGATGATTCATTCATCAGCTGTTCAAAGTTATGATGGCACTAAACAAATGGTGGTTACAACTGGTCCTTGGAATTCCGGCCATCCTGGACCCCTGCAGCCACACAGTCAAGATCTGGGCACTTGGCAGCTGGTTCACACTTACAACCAGTTGCAGTGCCCCATGATTATGTGGTCACTTTTTGCAACCTATGCCAGTTTTCCCAGGAAGTCAATGGGGAAGCTGGCAGGGAAGCTTGCAAGTTGCTGGAGGAAGTGTTCCCTACCCACCTTCCTCAGTTCTTCCGCATTCATGCTAGGCCCTTGAATACCCTTGCACCCTTTCCCAAACCCGTGCTCCACTCCCATACACCTTCTGTGACCATTATTGAAGCCATTTGTTTTCTTCCTAGTGTTTCCCACAAGTGCAGGGTCCACTTTTTTGGGAGTGTTACTCCATTAGTTGCAACATAAATTATCCTACTGGCTCGTTACCCAAGCTTGATACTTTGCATAATGCCTGACCATATTTTATAATAATTATACACTGTAATGTGGGCAAATGGATTCTCAAGAAACAGATTCATTTAACTAGGGTCTTCAAACTTGGCAAGTTTAAGACTTGTGGACTTCAACTCCCAGAATTCTTCTTCCAGTCATGTTAGCTGAGGAATTCTGGGAGTTGAAGTCCACAAGTCTTAAACTTGCCAAGTTTGAAGGACCTTGAACTAGAACAACAAAAATCAGTTCCAGCACACATACACTATAAAGATAAATTAACTTGAATGTAATATAACTTGCTGTAGATTTTGTGCATTCATCCCCAGAGGTGATGAACTCAGTGGTGAGATTCAAATAAGTTAATAACCGGTTCTCTGCTCTAATGACCATTTTAAGAAAATTAAACAGTCTGGCAGCGAAAATCCAGGAGCGGGGGAGGGGGAACATTTTTTTTTGAGAAGCCAGACTAGCATGCATTCATGTGCCTTCAACCCCCTTGCTTGCTGCAAAGCCAGATTGCAGCAAGCAAGGGATTGGAGTCTGGCCATTTTGGAGCTGGTTCGTCAAACTCAACAAAAAATTAGGTATCATTCTGCTGAACCGGTGCAAACCGGCTGAATCCAACCACTGGGTGAACTGCCATGTCATGCAATGTGTGGGCGTTTTTTTTTTTCTTGGATGTTGACATAGGCCAGCTGTCTTCCATTTCTAAACAATTTTTTGTCATTAAATTGTGTAGGAGCATTAAGATAAATCTGGAGATCGTGGACTGGCATTGCTCAGTTATTTTCAAGAATTAAGAGTTTTAGTTCTGTAAGAATCTTGAGGAGAAAATTGTGTATTTTTTCCTCATTGCTTAGATATTCTTAATTTTTCATATGGTGGCTTATATTTTACAAACCTCCCCTAGGAGGAAATAATAAGAATAATATGGCATTTTCTGTACCAGATTATTTTTATGAGGTTTGCCATGGAACACAACTCCTCTGACACTACAGTACTGGTCTTGCTAAGTAAGCTGGTAGGTAGTTGATATTATAGGGTTTATTTTACTGGTATAACAATACAAATGTGAAATGGAGATTTTCTGATTTCCAGTGAGTTTGTCTGGCATGAAGTATATCTAATCATTAGTATGGAAAGTGCAGCCTACCAATTCAGGTAGTCCTTACTTAACGATTGTCTGTTTAATGACCATCTGAAATTACAATGGTGCTGAAAAGTAACTTTATCATCCGGTTGTTGCACTTGTAATCAAGTAATTGAAATTCAAGTAGTTCACAATTGGAGGGTATTTAGAACCGGGGAAAATGTCCTGCAGTCACAAAATTACCATTTGTGTGCTTTACTGCCCATTTCTAACAAGCAGTCAATGGAGAATCTGGCAGTAAAATTGCAAATTGCGGAAGGGACCTTAATGACCACAGTGGGAGTTGTGGAAGTCAGGCCCTGTCACGTGATTTTTTTGCTTAATGACTGCATTGCTTAGCAACAGAGTTACCGCTCCATTTATGGTTGCTAAGTGAGGACTACCCCTATCTCAGAATCAAAATCAGTACGGTGGGGGGGATTTGAAAACTTTTTTTTTTCCTTTTGGGGAGAAAACAAGTAGCCTAAGCATATGAAATCCATTTCATCCTTTTAAGCTCTGAGCCCTCTCCCAAAATATTCCCTGGCGTATCTATGTTTGAGGTGGGCTCAGCATATCCTGCAAAGCATTGATTATCCTGCTCCCTTGAGGGCCTTTTTGTGCCTGACAAAATGTCAACATTTAATTAGAATTTAAAACATTTAAAAGTCTCCTGTGAGTCAAACTTGACTTCAGGGGACTACATGGAAAGTTGTCATAGCAACAGCACTAAAAAGGCTACCCAATCATCATTATATTTTATCTTTTATTTATTGCATTGCATTTTCTTTTACTGTTGTGAGCTGCCTAGAATCTCTTGAGAGTCAGGTGGCTTACAACTTTAATAAATCATTATGGTTGCTCACACCATCAGCCAGATTTTTTAACTTTTATCAAGTCCTTCAGGGATCATATGATGGGCAAGTACGGTAACTAGATTAACATATTTTATGAGCGAAGCCCTCTTTCTCAGCCAGTCCACAAAACCCAAATATTGCTCATCTCACACAAGCTTATTCCTGTGCCAGATGTTTAGTTTTTCGGTATGGATCTCAGGAAATGGAATACAGACCCTGCATATAAAATCTTTGTTGGTGAATGTTTTTAATCTACTGAAAAGCAACGTTTAGTGCATACTAGATCGCTTGCCCTGCTTCTTCCCTCCCATCCATTTTGAACCGGAATAAAATGGGCAAAGGGAACCTTATCTGTTCAGAAGCAATGAAATAAGAGAGTTCAGTGTCACAACTTCGCTTTTATTTTCCAGCTCCATGTTCCTGCATGTGTGTTAACCCAGAAACAAGAAGATTATCTGTTGGTCTTGACAATGGTACAGTTTCAGTAAGTACATATAATTAAGACTTCTGGTTAAGAATTCTCAGAGTTGCAAAACTCAATTGAAATATGGTTTTGGGTAGGGATTATAGCCCCACACTAGACCACATGGCTTGCATGCAAAGGTTTCTGTTTTACCCTTTTGTAATACACAAATAAATTTGTAAAAGGCCTTCAGACTTTGAGAATGGCTGGATTTCAATTCCAAACTGCCCTAGCCAGGTAATGGTAAGAGATACTGGGAATTGTAGTGCATCAAGAAGGCCACAGATTCCTATCTCTTAAATGTATGTAGTATTGATCTGAGGCAGGCATATGTTGTATAGATTGCTATGTAGATTATTACCTGAGTTCATTTATCCTGAGAGAGGATAAACAAGGGTGCTTGGATTTCACCCTACTGTATATTCTGCATCTTTGGCAATTATGATCATGTTCTCAAACTCTGGAATATTACTGCATACGTGTTTAATGCTATATTGGTGGTTTGAATGGAAGGTCTTGGTGAGGTATATCTGTCATTGTGAAAGGAATGCACCCATTATTAATAAATTATTAATAGTGTTTCTGCTTCTCCTTTTCATACACAGAAACTTTAGAGCAATCAGACAGAACCACACATAATTAAAAATGCATGGGTAATAATGCTGTTAACAGGGCCATTAAACAGGCAACAAAACTGCTGCAAAATGTAAAAGCAGCATCCTGTAAAAACAGTTTAAAAATAATACCAAAGATTAACTTTCACACATTACACTTGGTTGGCAGCCGAATATCTCTATGCTTGATCCGTTCAATTCATGTTTCTGAAATATTTTCCCCCCAACTAATGGTAAACTAGTGGTAAAATTGTATTAAAGGTGCAATACTATGTATGTCAGAAGTAAACCTCTTTACATCCAATTAGATTTAACACAATTATCTGAAGAATTTCAGACTGATTGCTATGTTGCAAGTGTGTTTTTGTAAAGAAAATTTATCAGGTTACAAAACATAGGATTGAGGGCAAGCGGAAAAAAATCAACTGTCAGATTATTTTTTCTCAAAGTTACAAATTCTTATGCTTTTTCCTTACAGTATAAATAGTATAAAAAAAGGCAAGTCTCAAAGCCAATTAGTTCTTCAGCTGAGCTGGAACGAGTCCATGTTCTCACGTCATGTTATTTCTTCCTTTCTCAGAGTGGATAGTTGGCTGGTGAATTAGGGTGGGGAAATTAAACCCCAAGTATAACTCCTCAGATCCCTCACTTTGGCCATGCTTGTTGGGAGTTGCAATTGAGTCAGCTGCTTTGTGGCTTTAATTACAACTTGGACAGAAAACAGGGGAAGTGCCAGAAAGCTGGAGAATGGCTGAGGACCTTTTTGTTTTAGTAAAGTGACTAAAAACCCGGGCAATTAGAATCACCAGGTGTTGCACAATTGTAAGTTAGTTATAAGTTATTAACACCATAGCCAAAATGGCATTCTTCTTCTTCTTCTTCTTTTTGTGCCATATCCGTCATTGGACATTGGCGATCATGTCGGCGATCCTATTTTTATCAACAGCCACATGAAAAAGTGCTGCTGAATTTTGTCCAGACCAGTTCCTTAGATTTTGACAAAATGGCATATAAAGAGCAGGGGTGGGATTCTACAGGTTTGCACCTATTCGCTAGAACCGGTTGCTAACATTCTAAGCAGTTCGGAGAACCAGTTGTTAGAAGAAATTACTGGCCTATTCCTGTAAGGAAGGCAGGAAGGAAACATTCTGGTGTTGCTTACGGAAACTGCCTCTCCGTTAACCCTTGTTACATTCTTGGCAGGACTAGACTTCCTGTCTCTGGAACTTCTCTGGAGTTTTTTCCCCTCCTTTGCTGGTATTTTGCTTGTGTGAAGTGACCATTCAAAGTTACAATGGTGCTAAAAAAAGTGACATGACCATTTTTCACACTTACGACTATTGCAGCATCCCCACAGTCACGAGAGGCCAGGCGAGGAGATGTGTGCCTCGATGTGAGTGACGTTGAGTTGGCCACGCCCAGCCAATACCATGACCACCAAGCCACGCCCACCAACTTAGCCACACCCACAGAACCGGTTGTTAAAAAATTGAATCCCACCCCTGATAAAGAGTATATAGATAATCTTCAATTTGCGACCACAATTAGGACCAGAATTTCCATTGCTAAGCAAGGAAATGAATTACACCCAATTTTACAACCTTGGTTTTTTTGCCATGTTTGTTGAACAAGTCACTGCAGTCATTAAATGAATCATGTAGTTGTGAAGTAAATCTGGGTTCCCCCATTGACTTTGCTTGTTAGAAACTGCCTGAGAAAGTCACAAATGGTGATCGCGCGACCTCAGGACACGGCAACAATTGTAAATGGATGCTGGTTGCCAAGAGCCTGAATTTTGATCCCATGACCTGAAGATGCCGTGACTGTTGTGAGTGTAAATAAAGTCATTTTTTGAGTGCTGTTGTAAGTTAGAACGGTTGCTAAACAAATGGTTGTAAGTTGAGGACTACCTATAAACCGTGCTTCAATGACCAAATATTTTGGATAAAGTAATTAGCAGATTGAATCAGAGGAAAACAATATTGCAGGATGTCAATACAACAATTCAAAATAGAAAAAG